ACTTCCTGGAAAACATCAGGCAGTCGCAAAAAGCTCCCCAAAAGAAAATAAAGTGTCAGGTTCAAAGTCAGGAAATCCACCTGTGTTTAATAATCATCATGCAAACAAAACGAGATCCTTCACACAAAGGGAAGGTGGGTGAATTATTCCTCCGCTCTTCTTCATGGGAAGGCACTCTTTCACTAATTTCTTATTTCTCCGTTTTTTCTTTGAGTAACACTTCCCCTCCCAATCAATCCATGATGATGACCTTAGGTCATTTCAGGTTTAATAGGGAAAGCACAGACATCCTTCAATATACATATGTCATCATGATTTGAACATAAAGAAAAAGTAAAACAGGAAGGAGTCTCCCTCGGATTCACTTCCTCCAAGGCCTTTTGCGGGTGGTCACTTGAATCGTTTTGCTGATGGCCACTGCCTTAGCAAAGACGTCAAAGTGAAGCAAATCACCCTCTTTCATAAACAAGTCATAAAGCAAAGTCTATTACTTGACATGAAGCTACCGAGTGCATTATTAAACCAGCAGTGAAGGGTACAGATACAATGACTCCATTCCCTTCTGTAAACCTGGAACGCTCTCAGGCCGCCCCTCCCCTCCCCTCCACGCTGCTGCTTAGCTTCCCCCTCCTCCCTGCCTCCGCCTCACGTCCCCCTGTCTGGTGCCAGCCTGTGTTCTGTCCCTTCACACCAGCTTGCCATTGCTATTCCTGCCATCTGGAGTCAGTTTGCAGGATCTCTGTCTCATCAACTCCCCATCTATTTTAAAATATCATCTGAAAACATATGTTCCCCCACCAGCAGCCCTTGCAATTTCCTCTCTGATTTTATTTATTTCATCCTCTGGCTTCCTTCAGCTCTGAAAAACTCATCTGATTCACTTCAGAAAACGGCTCAGCCAAGAGGGAAGATTGTAATCTCTCAGATTGGAAATCTCTGGCTTGCTTGGCTGGCCCAGGCTGCGCCACTTAATCTCCAGGAGCTGCTGGAGGCAGTGGAGGGAGAACAGGAACCGGCACCAGGGGCACTTCTGACACTCAAATGCTTCTGTTGCTGCAGATTTATCCCAAGTGTCAGGTGCTGCATCCATCTACTGAACAAGCCCAAGGAAGGATTTATGATACATGAGCACTTAGACTTGGAAGCAGGTTGTCCCAAACACCTTCTTACTCGCTTACATGGGTTTTCAGAAAGGTTGTGGAAAAGGAAATTCAAAGTACGAGTTTACTTTGGCGCAAAGTAATTGTGAAGTTCATGCAGTTTTTTTTCATATGTACTCTGTACTACTATGAAAAAATTTTGTGCCAAAATAAACACATACTGTTCAACTTCACTTTTGTATGAGCTGTGATTTCATGCAATAAGAAAAGGAGTTGGAAATAAAACAACTTCACCCAGTTGTTCCTATTTCCCTTGGGCCCACTAACCTGGACTAACCAACAACAACAACAACAACAAACACCCTCCAAAAGAAAGAAGACATGAATGTGCTTGGTCACCCAATTGTTCAACAACTTCCATTCCCAAGCTATCCGACCACCTCACTCCATTCCTGACTGTCCCTAATTAGCCTTGGCAGCTGTGAATACACTCTTTTCATTCTCTTAATGGGGGCACCTGCTTATTGCATGTGAGTTGCATGGCTCTCAACCATTCTCAACACCCACTGGTGCAGCTCATGCATCATGTGGTTGAATGTGTTTCTCACTCCATTTGGCTTTTCTTTCCTCCCTCACCAAAATGAAGAAGCAAAGACAGGAGGATCCCACTCTCAAACTCTGCTCCATTGTGGGCTTTGTGACTGCAAAGCTGGAAGAATGGATGTTGCTAGGCAACACCTCTGCACCCTATGTAAAAGATAAAGCTGCAGTCAAGGCTCTGAAAATGCAGAGGCCCATCCTTCCTAGAAACCTGTAGGGCTGACTTGCAAAGAAAAGTTCTTGCAATTTCGTTCTTTAGGTAAATTCCACTTTTTCCAAAAGAAATAGGACATACAAGGCAAAGGAAAGGAGAGCAAGCCCATCATTTCAGGTCTCCAGACAAAGCTGTTTCATTATGATTCCTTGCATGACTTGGCTTCTTCCTGTGAAAAATGAAATTCAGCTACTTCTTAAAATTCAAAGGAATGGATTTTCCATAGCAGTTTAGAGTACTCAGCCATGGGACCAGCATTGTGCCATAATGGGTTAAGCTGTCGCCTGCGATGCCAGCATCCCATATGCCACTTGGTCGTATCCCATCTATACCACTTCTTGTCCATGCCCTGTTAATGCACCTGGGAAAACAATGGAAGATGGCCAAGTGCTTGAGCACCTACAAGCACCTGGGAGACCCCAGTGAAGCTCTTGACTTCTGGTAGCAATCATCTAAGGGGTAAGTCAGGGAAGATCTCTCTGCCTCTGCCTCTCTTTTTCAAATAAAATAAAATAAAACCTTAAAAAAATAAATAAAGGACTCAGCAATGAGTGTGCCACCAACTACTCAATAATGATAAATCTCCCATGATCTTCTTCACATGTGCCTTGTAGGTTGTTTTTATCAATGGTTCCACTCCCACATGTCAACTAACCTTGCATGGGAAAGTTTGCAGAGGAAAACACAGAGCACTTGGAAAGTCCATGGACAATCTGTATGAAAAGATGCGTGTTTTAGTACAAAATAATTTGAAATCCATGTTAAGCTTTTTCATTCGATGCATATTCATGACGTTTGTGAAGATTCCTCATATGCATGGATTTCGTAATGTTCTCTATCAGGGATTGGTGTTTGGCACAATGATTTAAAAGCTGCTTGGGACACACACATGCCATATCTGAGTGTCTGGGTTCAATCCTGCCTCTGCTTATAATCTTGTTTCCTGTTAATGAGTATCCAGGGAGATAGCCTATGATAGACCAAGTATTAGGGTTCTGTCACCCCTTCCTGGCTTCTGGATTCTGTATGGCACAGCCCTGGCTGTTGTGGGTATTTGGGGCATGAGGCAGAGGAGGGAAGACACCTTTCTCTCCCTCTTCTCTTTCTCATGCACACTCTTTCAAATAAAAATTTTAAATTTTACACCAAAATAAACTCCTCTTTCAATGACCCTTTCCTTGAAATTCTGAAGTGTGTTAGTACCAGGTAGCAGAATGTAACTTTAGAGAGGTGTGATAATTTACTTCCTTCATAGATCTGAAACAGAAGCAACTGGGCACGGACTGCACACTAAGCCCATGTTCCATCCAGCCCCAGGACTCAAGCTCCCCCCTCCCCCCCCCCATGCCACTTTCTAACTGAGGCAAGAAATAAACAATTGGATAATATTTCAGTATCATGGGCTTCCATGAAATATAATCATTTATAAGATTAAAACTGAGTTCCTTCCCTGTAGCTACAATTGCTATTCAGCCTCACAATATCTGACCTGATTTCTTAACGACAAGCCATCTCCTTCAGCTCAGTGGCCAGAAGACCCTACAGAGAAGTGATGGCTGGGAATTTCTATGAAAGTTACCATTCTTCTGCCAATAAGCCCTTCCTATGGAGGCAAAGTAGACTTGGTATGATCCCCTGTCAAATATCTAGACCAAGAAAGATGTAGAACGAATGGGAAAACAAGAGAAAAGCAAGCCTGGCTGCCAAGCAAAGCCACTGCATCAGCATAGACTTGGATGCTCTTTCACGTTGTTTAAGCCAATGTCTTTTGACTTCTCTGTCACCTGCAACCAGACTCAGACCCTGAATAAGTACCCTCCACTTCAGAGGCTTTCCCAGACTCAAGCATGCCAGCATAACAACATTGTGCACAAAGAAAACACTAAATATGTCCAATAAGTGGAAACTGTAATAGGATCTATCGCTTGCTGAGTGCATCTTTCCAATATGCCAGCAAAGTGAAGCAGGGCTCATCTATAATTCAGTTTTGGAAACAGCATGCTTTCAACTGGCCATCATCTATTTACCAAGAACCCCTATGGACACAGCATTGTCCAAGAAAGATTTGAAGTCACAAAGTTGGACAGGGCATGCTGGTCTTCTGAATGTTCTCAAGGGAGCATCATGAGAAAGGGGATTCTTTCAAAGATTTATCTGAATGGCATGTACCTGTCCTGAACAAATCACTTTACTTCACTGTGACACTGAAGATTAGCCTAAGTTCTCATTAAATGCCCAGGCCTCTACCACAACTGTTAATACAACACTTCAGGACTTCACCAGAGGAATATGTTAGGATTCCTGTCCAATACTCAATCTAAATGAAGTCTTAAAAAAAAAAGTCCCTCTCTCTCTCCTTTTATTACAGCTTTAATGAGGTATAATTGGCACAGAGTATGATGCACATATTTAAAGCACACAACTTAATGGGTCTTGGTATGTGTGTGCCCATGAAATTGTCACCACAACGGGCCTTTCTATCATGAACATTTCCTCATACTCCTTTGTAATCCATTCCACCTTCTTTTGCACTAACTCAATCCCAGGGAACCACAAATATACTTTCTGTTGCTGACAATTAGCATGCATTTTCTAGAATCTTGCTGAAATGGGATCATAAACACACAGTAGTTCTCTTCAGCTACTTTCATTCAATGTAACTATGTTGAGGTCGATATAGGCTGAGTATATTCACGCTTGGTTCTTTCACATTGCTATCATGATATTGTTTGACTATAACAAAATTCACCTATTGATGGACATTTGAGCTATGTGTAGTGGGTTTTTGTTTTTATTTTAAATAAAGCTGCTGAGAAGGGCAGCTTTATTAGTATATGATACGGTGGTTAAGTTGTCATTTGCGACAGCCACATCCCATACTAGAATGCCTGTCTTACGCTTTAACTTTGCTTCAATTGCAGCTTCCCTGCTAATGCACGCCCAGGGAGGCAGCAAATGCTGGCTCATGTGTTTGAGCTGTTGTGTGAGGGACTCAAAACAGGCTCTGAGCTCCTGGTTTCAGTCTGGCCCACCCCAGACTTACAGGCATTTGGGGACTGGAACTATACATCTCTTTATTTTTATCTCTGGATTTCAAATTTTTAAAAAATTGTTCAATATTAAAAAATAAAGATGCTATGAATGTTCATCCACAATCCATGCACATGTTTGCACATACATACTTTTTAATTTCTCTTGGACAGGGAGAACCAAGATGGCAGAATAGGGTAAGGGCACGTTTAAACGAACAGAAAAACATTTAATCAGGATGAAGCAGAGAGGACAGAACAACAGCAGGGGGGCACCTGGAGATTGTCAGACACAGGAAAGAAAGGACACAACAGTGTGGTGTTGTAGTGACTGATACTGCAGCGGCATTCAGCTAAGGCAATCTGAACTCCACCAGCAGCCCGAACTCCACCAGCAACCAGGTGGGAAGGGACTTTCACTGGGAGCTTGGGAGCTGAACCCAGACAAAGAACTGTCCGTCCTGCTGGTCCATTTGATTTGACTAGGAGCAGAGACAGAGCAGCAGATCCCAGATGGGCAGTGCGAGAACAGGGTGGATTTCACAGCCAGTCAGCACCCTAGAGCCAAATAGGGAACCATTTTGCCTAAGGAGGCAAAGGCAAGGATAAGGACTGAGCATACGCCGAGCTGTGAATGAACTCATTTCTGACTCAAGTTAACTACACCAACGTGGAATTCTACAGGTTCCAGCCAAAACAGGTCTGCATAGCCCTCAGACTTGACAGCCAGCAGATCAAGACCTTTGCCAGTGGTACATCAGGAGCCATTTTGCACACTGTGGCAAAAAGCTTTAGGACTGCAGGGACAACAGTGAACTGCACATGTGCTGAGCTCGCGAGAACTCGCTGAGTTCCGTGAATTGCACTGGGCCCACAGGAAAATAATACCGACTGTGGCATCATACTGGTTAAAATAGGTCCATGTGGCACCTAGACCTAACGTCCAACATGTTACGGCAAGATCAGCACCACCAACAAGCTAGCTATCTAGGACACCTGGTGTCTCCATAATCCTGGGACCTGCTCCAAACAGAAGTGGGAGAAAGGTTGCAGAGACAACGGTACAGCCTCAGCACAGTATCACAGGAGAGTGAGAGAGGTGGGGAGTGGTGAGCCAAGAGCTGGGCCTACGGAGTTCTTTGTGAAAATCTAACATAAGAACTCAAACCTGGAACTCACTGGAGGTAGTGGCACAATTGGCTGCAAGCAAAGAGTTGTGTACCAACTGAAATAAGTAAAACCAAACTGTAGACCTGTGGGTGACACAGCGTAGAAACCTGCACCAAGGAGAAGACTCTGCTAACCAGAAGTACAATGACCAAGAGCAAAAGAAGAGACAAAGGCTCAATGAATGTTACTGAAAACTTCCCTCAAAGGAACAAAACCACATGCCAATCTCAGAGTTAACTGAGGAAGACATCAAGAAAATAGGGGACACAGAATTCAGAAAACTCATTTTAAAGCTTCTGATCAACAATGAGAAGCACATACAAAAGTTCAAAGAATTTAAGGAAGGAATATTTTACACAAGCAATAGCAGTAATAAAGCAAATCAAGGCTGATATATCAGAAATTAAGAACACAGTAGAGCAAATTAAAAGTACAGTGGAGAGTCTCCAAAATAGAATGAAGCAAGCAAAAGAAAGAATCTCAGAATTAGAAGATATTTCCTGTCATCAGGGAGAAGCAAACAAAAAGTTGGAAGCAGAGCTGGATCAGGCCAAAAAAAAAAAATTTCAAAAAATTCAAGAATTGAAAGACACTATCAAGAGGCCTAATATAAGAGTTATGGGAGTCCCAGAAGGTACAGAAAGAGAAACTGGTTTTACAAATATATGTAATGAAATAATAAAAGAATATTTCCCTAATCTAGAGAAAGAATTGGGAAACAACATTCAGGAGGGGCACTGAACTCCAAACAGGCTTGATCAAAAGCAATCTTCACTATGACACATGATCAACAAGCTCTCTTCAATCGAACATGAGGAAAAGCTCCTTAAATGTGCACGTGAAAAAAATCAATTGACATATAAAGGAAGGCCAATTAAACTCACAGGAGACCTCTCACAGAAAACTCTACAGGCAAGAATAGACTGGAGCTATATATTCCAGATTCTAAAAGAAAAAAATTGTCGGCCCTGGATAATGTACCCAGCAAAACTTTCCTTTGTCTTTGAAGCTGAAATAAAATGCTTCCACAGTAAAGAAGAGTTAAACGAAAATGCCTCTTCCAAACCTGCCCTCCAAAGGACACTTAAAGATGTTCTTTTGACAGAGAAAAGGAACAGCACCCACCAAAACCAAAGGTAAATGCAAAGAACATTCCAGTAAAATGACAACAGAAGACTAAACCAATGAACAACTCATTCCTAAAATGACAGGACCAAAGTACTACCCATACATATTAACCCTGAATGTAAATGGTTTAAGTTCAATCAAACGTCCTAGATTAGTAGACTGGATTTAAAAGCAAAACCCATCTATTTGTTTGTCACCAACAAAAATCAGCCGAAACTATTTCGCATGGGTTTTGATGTTTTCAGTTAGTTTCATCTCTTCAAAGCAGTCTTCTGATTAAATCATTCAATGAGTCATAGATCATACAGCAGCATCATTTTCTGCAAGAAGGTTCTTGATTTTCATCTCTTCAGCTACACGTTAGTCATTTAGTAGCATGTTATTTAACTTCATTGTGTTGTTAATTTCTTTTTTCTTCCTGATGTTGATTTTGTTTTGTGGCTTTTCATTTAAGGGGATGTATAGCAGCTGTGTAATGGAGACCGTCATATCTAGTGACATACTCTAACTTCTTGGCATTGTAAATTTCTATTTTTCTTTCTATTATTCATTTTGTATTATGACTTTTCATTTGAGGGGATTTACAGCAGCTGTGAAATGGAGACTAACATATTCAGATTTGAGGATACAATGAGGTATGCATCTCTACTTCCAGGCTAAAGATGGACTTGCAATGAAACTGTTTACTATATCTTGACAATAGGATGCTGGACTCTCTCCCTGCCATTGTGCATGCCCGCAATGATGGACATATGACTGTGTATGAAGAACTATACTTTAGTAATGATACAGAGGAACTAGGTGGGGGGAGGGAGGGAATTGGGGCTGGGATAAGGGAAATACCAGGAGGAAATTTTATATATCATTTAAAAATTATATGATAATAATTTTTTAAAAAGGGAAAAAAGAAGAAAAAAATTTCTCTTGGACAATTATATTGGCGTGGAACACTATGGGATATGGTATTTAACTTTTTAAGTTACTATTAAATTGTTACATAAAATGTTTGTTTCACGGCCAGTACGTGATATAGCAGGCTAATCCTCAGCCTATGTGCCAGCATCTGATACAGGCTCGGATTCTGTAAACTCCCTGCTTATGGAATAAGAAAGCAGCAGAGGATGGCTCAAGTCCTTGAGTTCTGCACCCGTATGGGAGACCCACAAGAGGCTTCAGATTGGCTCAGCTTCAGCTGTTGCAGCCATTTGGGGAACCTCTCTCTCTCGCTCTTTCTCTATGAAGAAGGGGAGCAGGGAACCTTATAAATAAATAAATAAATATCCACCAGAATATATTTATATATTTACTTATATTTATATTATATATATCTCCACCAGCAGCATATGAGACATGAGTTTTTCCATCTCTTTAACTCCTGGAATAATCAGTCTTTTTAATGTTAGTGCAGTAGTATCTCTTTGTGTTTGCACTTTTCATCTGCCTAATGACTAATGATATTGAGGGACAAAATGCTTCTTCAATCTGCCCAGTTTTTCCTCCCAATTGCTAACTTTCCAAAGTTCTTTACAAATTGTGGATAAAAGCCCTTTGTGTGCCATATTTTTTGCAAACACGTAGTCTCTAGCTTCCCATTTCATTTTATTATTGGTATCTTCTGAAAAGAAAAATGTTTCTATGTTCATGGGGTATAATTTATCTGTGTACTTTTGCATGTTTTTTTTGCTATATTTTAAAGATATTTATCCAATTCACGGTCAATAATTTCTAAAAATTTAGTGCTTTAATTCTTACATTAAACCTAAGGTGCACTTCAAATGTTAATTCTTACAGTGTGAGGTGAATATTGAGGTTGTTTTTATTTTCTCCTTTCATGCATACACAATCGTTCAAGCACAATTTGCTGAAAGAATTTTCATTAATCAATTTAATTTACGTGGCATCTTTTAAGAAAAAATCATTGCCCTCTCCTTGCCCTTCAAGCTACCAACCATCAAAGACTGTAATTTTAAATATGTTCAAGTAAGGCACTGCAAGTCTTCCAACTTTGTTCTTTTTTTTTTTTTTAATTTTGTTTCTGAGTCAGCATGCCAAGTTCTATAAAATGAAAAGCCTGCTAGGATGTCAGTGGAGATCATGTTGAATTATATAGGCCAATCTGGAAAGAATGGACATCTTAATATTGCTACTTCTAATTTAGAAATATGATAAAACTCTCTATTGACTTAGGTCTTAATTTTCTTACGACATTTCACAGCTTTCAGTCTACAGATCTTACACATGTTTTGCCAAATCTATCCCTAAGTATTTCAGAAACTTTTGGTGCTCTAATAAATGGTATTATTTCCAATTGCAAGTTTTATACAGTCATTGCTTGTACACAAAAATAAAAATAAATTCTTATATTGGCATTATGCCTTGCAATCTTGCCTAACTCATTTTTTTTTTGGTCCAGTAATTTATTTTAGACTGTTCTTTTTTTTAATTCCTAGACTGCCCAGGAATAGAGACAGCTCTGTCTTTTACAATCCAGGCGTGTTTGTTTGTTTGTTTTTCTTTTCTTACCACACTGACAAAAGCTTCAAGTACTCTGCTGAATATAAGTGATGAAGAAAATTTCTATTACTTCAACTTGGTGGACAGCTCATGGTCTTTCACCATTTCGTAAGATGTTAGCTTTCCATTTCTCATAGACGTCCTGTATCAGAATGAAGAAATTCCCTTCCATTTCTAGCTTGCTGAGAGTTTCAACAGGAATTGATGCTAGATTTAAACACATGCTTTTTTCTTCTTCTACAAACATACATACGGTATTCCTTGCTTATTTCTTGCTTAGTTTGCTTATGGGAATACCACTGACCAACTGTGAATGTT